TGTTGTCCCCATAAGGATGGGTGAGTCCCCACACTTGACTGTGTAAACAGATTAGGGGTCCACCCACAAGTATAGTAATGATAGGGCCACCACACAACACACACATCCACGCACGCTACACACACACACACACACACACACGCACGCACGCACGCACGCACGCACGCACGCAAACACACACACACACACACACACACACACACACACACACACACACACACACACACACACACACACACACACACACACACACACACACACACACACACACACAGTTTGAGACTGACGGCAGCTGGGCATGACCAGCAGCAGGTGAGTCTGCAGGAGGACTCCCCATTTTTCTTTTCAACGTTTGTCTGCAAGAGCTCACCTGACATGAAGGAATAATCGGTGTTTATTTCCCTCACGGATGAAGGGAGATTTGATCTACTGCTCGGGGATTTGACCTTTTTATCTTTATGGGATGTTTATCTATCTTTTTGTTCTGAACTTTTTGGTGTTTTTTGCTGCGTCGATGATTTTTCATCTACAAACGCAATCAACTTGCACATGGTGGTTTTTTTCGAGTTACAAATCTTTAATATGAATTCAGAGGCAAAGAAGTGATGATGAACCTTTCATATAATCTTGGTTAATGCCTTTTCCTTATCTGAATACAACCAACAGTGAACACCCTGGATGTTTCCTGTCTGTACATGTGTGTCTGTTGCTCCTCTCTTGGTGCAGGAGGTGTTGAAGCAGCTGCAGAGTAAACTGGAGCAGGAGGCAGGAACACTGGCTTCGTCCGGCAGGAGCGACGTGCTGGACCAACTCAAAGGTATCAAGGATCAGTTATTGTCATAAAAGATAGGAGGGATTCTACCGACTGCTTCTGAGGCTCCGCTGGGACAAATCCTTATTCTCAGAGAAATGAATCGACTCAATCAGTTAATCTGATTGGACGCAGACGGCTCTGCTCGTTATGATTCGATCCAATTAAACAACAAATTCATGTCAATTAGTTTGTCTGGACTGAAATTAGATTACTACAACTGAGAGCAACAGCAGCTGCGATTATAGGATTAAGTCAAATTCAGTTTGAAAAAATAGACAACACATAGATGTATGGGAGAGTGGAAGGAAGCAAGGAAGGAAGGAATGAAGCTAGGAAGCAAGGGAGGAAGGAAGGAAGAAAGGAAGGAAGGACAATTAAGAAAGGAAGCAAGGAAGGAAGGAAAATTAAGCAATGGAAGCAGGAATGAGGGAAATTAAGAGAGGAAGGAAGCAAGGCTGGAAGGAAGGAATGAATGAAGTGAGAAAGGAAGGAAGGAATGAAGTGAGAAAGGAAAGAGGAGAGGATACAGCAATTATTGTAGGAGGATATCACGTAAGGGGTAAACAAGGAAATTAAGATATGGAATGGTATAGGAAGGAAGGAAGGAAGGAAGGAAGGAATCAAGGAATGAAGCTAGGAAGCAATTAAAGGACGGACAATTACGAAAGGAATGAAGCTAGGAAGCAAGGGAGGAAGGAAGGAAGGAAGGAAGGAAAATCAAGGAAGGAAGGAAGGAAGGAGGAAAGATTGATTGATTCTTTGTTCCTCCCTTAGAGCTCCATCTGGATCTCACTAACTACTACGAACTGAAGCATCAACCCCACAACCTGAGGCTTCTGATGGGCGGTGTGGGGGGGGCAGGTGGGGGAGTGGAGGTGGACGACCGCCTGGATCTGCCTCCTTCCTCCTGCTCCTCTTCCTCAGCGGTAAGCAAAGCCAGGAGTCCGCTCAGGGCGCTGTCCCGTCTGAGCCCAGGGTCCGGGGGCGAGGCCGCCATGCTGCCGCATCACTTCCTGGAGGGAGCGCCGCCCAAAACAGCTGTGATCAGTGGAGCTGACGGACGGATGAGCGACCACCACCAGGAGGAGCTGTACAAGGAGAGGTAGTATCTTTACATTCTGCAGATACATATAAAGTACGTTTAATGGACAGATGTTCCATTTACAGTGCAACTGCTAAGCTTCACACAGATTCCACCTTGTATAAAAAAATACATTTAAGAGAAAGAAAAAAAAAACACATGTAATTATGTAGTAGTACTAACGTACGAGTACTAAAGCTAAACAATTATAAAGAAAATACGAAATACATTTGAGAAAATGCATCAATTTAAAAATAAATACCAGTAAAAATGTTATGAAACATGTATTACAATTTAGTAATAATAATATTATTAAATCAATTATAAAACAAATGTATTAATGTGGTCAAATGACTGCTCTGCACCACAAGCCTCAGTTTCCATGAATGTGTTTCTTCTCATTTCACAAAGAGTAAATGTACAAAAAAAGGATGCCCTTTATCTCCATTATTATTTGCACTAGTGATGGAGCCTTTAGCAGAACAAATCAGATCCAGTATTTTAGTTACCGGTATCCAAACCAAAGAAAAAATACACCCAAAAAAAATACACCCAATGTATATCCTTCTGCTTTTGAGTAATCCGTTGTCCTCAGTCCCAGCTATTACTAACATAATGAATGAGTGTGTGGTATGTTCACGATATAAGGTCAACTACGGGAAACAATTTGCTTCACCACTTGGGAATTTAAAATGCTCTGATTTATTTGGACACACTCCTTTCCAATTGGCCACTAATGGGTTCAAATATCTACGCATGTTTGCCTCCTATAATTTAGAAAATGTGATTAAAATGAATTTGGACCCGGTGGTGAATGTGATCATCTCCAAAGATGGAGCCCTCTGCCAATACCACTGCTGGGACGGGTTGCCCTCATCAAGATGAGTGTCCTGCCAAGGCTTTTATATCCAATGCAGATGTTGCCTAATTATATCCCAGCTAAGTTCTTTAAATCACTTCATAGTATAATAGGTACATTTGTGTGGAAATCTAAACGCCCAAGACTTAAGCTGGAGAAAGTGCAACTACCTTTAGATAAAGGGGGATTAGCACTTCCCAACGTTATGTTTTATCACTGGGCGTCACAACTTAGATATATTAAAGAATGGTTAAAATATTATACTAATTCCACATTTCTTGATTTGGAAAATAAAGGGTGTGAGCCTGGACTCTTAGACATGCCATTTATAAACAACACAATTTCACTACATGGGATTAAAGATAACTTTATTATTATAAATACTCTTAAAACATGGAATCAGGTACGAAGGTATTTTGGGATAGTAAATCAATACTCTGCTTTAGCTCCAATTGTATGTAATCCTGCTCTGCTTTGGACTTCAAAGTCTGGAACATTTCTGGTATCCTTAAAATGTAAGATCTCTGTTTGGGAGTCAGTGCAAACGGAGATCAGAGAAGTGTTTGGCATAGATATATATTTTAACCCATAACTGTGTCTTCAGATCAGATTTAAATGACGAACATAGACATATGCACATTATTGGTATTGCTCTGTATGCAGCACGACTCACTTGAAAGAGATAATGCTGCTGTGTTAGCAGTAGCAGCCCTGAGGTTAACGTGATATCTGTGTGGCGTCCACAGGAACCTCCTGCTGGGGGAGATCGACCGCGAGGAGAGGGAGCGCTGCTGGTACTTCAGCCAGCTGGAGGCGCTGTCTCAGAGACTGGCTCAACTGCCCCGCATCGACACAGTGAGAAAACACACACACACACACACACACACACACACACACACACACACACACACACACACACACACACGAGCACCTGCATCAGCATTAGTGTGACCTACTGAATAAGTGTACTAAAGTCTGAGGTCTTTCTCTCCAACAAAACTCAGAGTAAAACATGTGGGCTATTGCGCCTAATTTAAATTACATTCAGATAAATTAAACAAAAATATAAACATATACATTGTGATATGCAATAAAGACTTTATAAGATAAAACTTTATTCAGGTAACTGACACGTTTTTACCAGCATGAACATAAATGCTTGAATAATAATACAATCATATATTTTTTTAATGTTTTATGAAATTGGCCATTCTGCATACATCTTTTTATTTTGGTAGTCAAAAGTAGATTTGAAATTTGAAACCTTTTACTATAACTTTAAAATTAAAGGCGCCACTTTTACTTGAGTAAAAGTTATAAGATATTTTTTTCAAATGGGGCCAAGGAGTTGATGTTAAGTTCAATAAGTTACTTAAATGATTAATAAATCAACTGACTGTTGTGGCTCTACACAGGAAGTCACCTTCTGTACTGCATTTGTCAAAATAAAAGATCAGATTACAGTAAACATCAACAATTCTGGTTTTCTTTGGCTCACAGTGAGTAAATCAGATGTGTGGGGGCCTTTAGTATTTGAGTATCATGTGTGTACTGATCTCTGTATGTGTTGTTTCAGTTTTCTCTGCAGATGGATCTGATCCGGCAGCAGCTGGAGTTTGAAGCTCAGCAGGTTCAGTCTTTGATGGAGGAGCATTTCGGCACCAGTGATGAAGTGGTCCAGAGGACGCAGGTGAGAAACAGCCTGCTGTTTATGCTCCTTCTGCTACAGCAGATCATGTCATTCAATCATTTTATGAACAATGAAACAGAATCAGAATCTTAATTCATTTGGATTAATTTGATTAAATTGGTTTGATGAATCGTTGTCGATGGTATGCAGCACAGACATGTCTGAACAGTGCATGGCGTGTATGTTGTAGATTCGTGTTGCTCGTCTGGAGCAGCTGGAGGAAGAGCTGCAGGAGGCCCGAGGCACTCAGGAGACCCAGCTACAGGTCAGACATGCAGACAACACACATCACACACACAATACACAGACAGAGGCATCACCACAACAGAAATGCAAACACATAACAGCAGACAGCAAATATAAAGGCTGATTAAGGTTTCTTCCAACAAGTTGGACCGGGTCTCTTCTGTTCTAAGTCAGTCGGTGTTGACAGATACATTAAAATCATATTTTGTTTACAGTTTTTCTCAATCGCTAAACCCACTTTTTAGAATCTAAATTCATTTCTTCAAAACAAGAGCATAGCCATCTAAACAGAAACACACTTGCCATAACTCTGAATATCTTTTGCAAAATGCACTTACATGACCAAAACTGAAAATACTGGTCACAAAAAAGAATAAGTCGATCGAAACAGAACAAATTGTCCTCTAATGAGACAAATGTGTTTTCATAACTGAAACTCCGGTCACCATAATAACCCATTCTACCATAACAATATACATTTCTTGCAAAGTGCTCTAAGGCACTCAAAACTAAAAATACCCCTTCCAAAACCAGATACCTTCTCCAAAAACAAACATTTGTCAGCTCATGAGAAGACTATTTGAACAGTCATTACTAAGTGGCACACTAAATACTGACTACAATCATCAATACACAAACCTCAAGCTATCGATATTGGAAACTGAACGGAAAACTGACAAGTTGGGAGAAACAAACTTACATATAGGAAAAACAGAGTCTTACTGTAACTATGCCATTGTTTTTATTGTCTCATTTTCAGAAGAGCACCGTAACAGAAACAAAAGACGAATAGCAATACACTGGAAAAAAATAACATGGGTAAATGATGTAAATCAGCAGTAAAGCAGAGAATGAGATCTATATAACTTTACTGATCTGCTCTTTGGCGTCTGTCTGGCCACATAGCCTCATCTACGTCACAGCGTATGTCTTCCCTTGCAAGGCAGCGTGGGAAATATCTCCTTGCGTGTCGACACCACCCTTGACAGGATTCCGCAGAGATGTCCCGACAGCCAGCATTCATTGCGTCCAAAAGGGGCATTCTGTCATGATGGTCATAAACCTTCCATCTCCAGGCAGAGAAGAACTCCTCAAGGGGGTTTAGAAATGGGGAGTATGGAGGGAGGAACTCCATGGCCATGTGTGGATGAGCCTCAAACCATGCCCTCACGTCAAGAGAGTGGTGGAATGCCACATTGTCCCATATGACCACGTGAACCGACCTCACTTGATCCCTCTCTTCTGGTGGCACAAGTCGGTCATACAGGACATCCAGGAAAGCAAGGACACGTTGCGTGTTATATGCTCCCATTACAGGGAAGGGATGTGAGCAAGGACGCCTTGTGTCGAGATAGCCGCACACAATGTTATGTTTCCTCCCCTTTGGCCTGGAACAAAGACTGTCGCTCTTTGCCCAATAGGTTCCTCCCACGTCTCCTCACTTTGGAGAGGTTGAAGCCTGCTTCATCCACATATACAAAAACATGTGGTAATGCATTGCCTTCCAGCTCCATCATTCGCTAAAGAAAATGAAACAAACAGAGGACCGTTTTACATTACTGTAGCAGTCAGACATACTAAAAATATAGGCAAGCCATCAGTGTGATTGAGTCCTTACCTGTACATACCGGTGCCTTAACTCCTTCACACGGTCAGAGTTGCGTTCAAAAGGAACCTTATAGATCTGTTTCATTCTGAGGTGTTGCTCTTTAACACCCGGTCAATGGTTGCAACACTTATAGACTGAATGTTACTGAAGACATCCTGGTCTGCAATTATTCTGGCCTGAATCTCCCTTAAGCGGATTTCATTGTTGGCCACAACCATATCAACAATGGCAGACTCTTGTTCTGGAGTAAAGGCTTTCGTCTGCACCCAGAGCGGGTGCTCTTGTCTTTTCAGTTCTATCAATAAATATTTGAGAATGTAATGGTTAATGTAATATAATAAAAACAGTGATCGAACCTACATCAAAATAGAACAATATGATAAAATGGTAAGTGTATCATAAGTGCTGCTGAAGATAATGAAGGATGTTACTGTTGAGATCTCGGTTATATTGGCTGAAACCTTTGGCAGCCTCAATGAGGGACTGCATGGTTTATTACACAATTAGTTGCAACGGTGATGTCCGAAACTACGGTTGCATCTCTAACTCTTCACTGGCATACGTTCTAATCTTAGTCTGAGAACTCATATTGGCCCAGGCCTTCTACTGAGCATGGTATCCTTGTCTCTATGAACTCGGTCTCATTCTACCACATAACTCCACCGCGCGTCATACCAACTCTATAAGCCCTCGGCACCATTTCACTCTGAAAACAACGGTCATTTAGATCTCTCATGACGTCTCATCTCTCCTACTCTAACACAGTCTCTTGTTCACCTCACACACACACTCACCGCCACACACACCCTTCACTCATTCTCGCTACAACGGTTCCCACCTATTAACACAACTCACCCTACCGATCAGCCACATTAACGTACACCACACACACCCAAACACACAGACAGAACACAGACACACACAATACACACATAATCACACTCACTGATACATTCATTTCAGCACTGGCAAGGCACACCTTCCTCTCCAACTTCTGAAAGCACACATCGCTCTGCACCCAAGACTCAACATCCTACTCATTGTGAATCATAGACAAGCTCTCACCTCCTAACCCTCGAACTGTACTGAACAGACATCAGGCTTATTCTATATCACTATCTTTCAGTAGCCTCCCATCACAATCAATCGATACACGTCTCATATATCGTTGCTTACCTACACAATTGTGCTCATTATGTACCGTGTAAGCTATTTCTCATCGTGTCATTCACTGGATTACCTCATCCTCAATCAACACGTGACCAAGAATATTTTGCTCTATAGATAGTGTATGTGATGTCATTGTGATGCTACAGAATGAAGATATGCTCCATATCGCACTAGAGAAGTTACCTGTTTTATGCAAGTGAACATAGACTAATACATTACATCCAATCATGGATGCAATCCATATCTAATAGGAGCATACTTTGCGTAGAATCAGATTCACAATTGATGTCGCAAACACTGTTGCGGTTGCAATGTATATCAGCTCTCAAATGATCGCATTTTCTTGTGATTCGCGATGAGAAAATACTGCTCAAAACGCTAAGCTGACAAATGCAATCTGTAACTCACACCCACCTACTTGGTCAGATATCACGGACATATTTTAATAACAATAGTTGAGTATCCAGCGACTGCCATAGTCACACAAGACTCAGGAACTGTTAATACAAATCTGCAAACATACTTCCACATCGTCACACCTGGCAAGCGCACACATAAATCTCAATAACCTAGCCAGCTGATTCAATCGCCCTGTGAGGATGACCTTATAGCGAAATCGCGTCAAAGGCGTACATTGATCTATTGATAGCATCAGTTCGTTCACTATATATACACTCAAAAACTGCTCAACTGATTCAGCGTCACAGCGTACTAAGTTGTATGGAGAAGTGTATATCATGCTGAAAAGATTCCTTTTCTTTGATTGATACAGCTTGTAGTTACCTGAAGTATACACTAACACGGCTAACAGTCTGCTTCAGAGTGTAAAGGCCAGGTGAACCTTCTCTATCACCTGCACAGATATGGCGCAATAAGTCCTAATCTACAGATTGCTCAATATGACAACCATCTAAGCCGAATTAGTTGATACGCAGAAGACGTATTGGTGTGAAAACAAATATACCAGATGCGTTGTCTGAATTGGTTGTATGAAAGATGATGTAATGTCTAGTTTTCGAGTAAATGGCTGCGTGCTGTTGGTATGTCATAGAAGTCTTCTCAGCGGGCTATATCATAGAGAAATTACGGCAGGTATGTATTTTTTAATTGCACCGAACCGTGTATTACATCTCGTTATCAACGATGACTCCAAGACAGCAACAAGTCAACACTCGGCTAGAATTAGTTATAAGGTATCACAAACTCGGAATTAATGTCTAACGACAATCAGCATGCATTGAGTAGACTACTGATGCTCACTGAGGATCTGCTAAGGTTTGTTCTGAAGTTATTCGTATATGACCGATGTATTCATTGAGTAACACAAGTGTTCTGCCTGATACAGAGATTCTAATTCGCCTGGTAGCGTATACGGATCTCAATTTAGCCTCATGTTGTTTTTTGTGGTAACAGTTAAGTCCCAAGCCCCTAGCACTGGATGTAGCTGGCCGGTTCCCGTTGAAAACTCGCTCACCCTCCTCAATCGAGACTGTGGTGCCGCAATATGCCTTCCTCTTCGATCAACTAATTGCAATACAACTCGCTCATGTGGAGCGCTAACCATACAGAAACTCGCGCCCATATGTGAGATTTATAACATCGGATGATGTTCGGTATGTACACAGACGCATACACAGCAATCAATCAACTAAAACCCCATGCCTGGGTAACAGTGACTACTAGTGCAGATTTTCCAGCGTACACCTGATTCATCACACCACCTCATCACTCAGTCTCATACTTGAACCATGTCTCTAAACTACATTAACTGTGAATAATCGACCCTTCTCATCCTCCTGGTATCAATGGTCAAACCAATATGACTTACATAAATCCCCAACATTTATGTAATTTCATCAGCGTTGTACCAACATGATATCCTGTTTGCCCCAATCGTTTCACACGAGACACAGCAATAACAGCTTGCGCCAAATAACACAGAGGAAAGATAAACAATAGAAGTCACTATAGACTCGTTGAATCCATCTATTCATACTGTCACACGCTCCAAATATTCATGCATATCCCTCCAACCTTATCATCGTACGCATTCCACAGGCCCAAAGTGCAACATCGGATCTCATGCAATGCCACGCTAGGGCATTCTCAACTGGATGTCTACCAAACAAATGGAGACACACAGCACCTAAACAGCGCGCAAGATAAAAGTATCGTGACACGGCAGCACGATAGTCTCATGCAAAATCCCGAACATATAGAAAAACACCTGAAACGCGCACATGAATGCGTGGAAGTCCGCCTGTTCGAGCCAAAAAGAGAAATAAAAAACAATAAAAATAAAAAATAAAAATAAACAACCAAACAAAACCTCCAAAAAAAAAAACAAATCACTGCCAAAACCTCCTACAATAACAACTTCGTCTATGCACTATGTGGGGGTGTCGGTTTTCTTGATTGTAAACCCCCAACCTCAAGATAGCATTGGGTGTATATTACACAGATGGGGGCATAGAGCTGGACAAAAGAGGAGACAAGGAAAGCACCTGCAGAAGTGTTCCCCTAAACAGCAAGCATGCCAATACCTGAACTTAAAGTACAGTGTGACAGGGCACTTGCAATTTCCCATAGGGAAGATGTACTGTGTGTTTAAAGGCTCTCTGGTTGAAGCCAACATCATGAAATTCCTTTTAGTTTCTCTTTCTCAAGGAAGATAACAACAAATGATACTGTAGAATCTGGAGAGGGAAGAAGTAGCTGACATGGCTGACTTCCCTTTTCTCTCCACATTGCTCCGGGTCTGAGAGTTTGGCTACAAATCAGATCAAACAGCGAAACAGCATGTCATTCCTGCTCATAAAAGACTTTTTTTCATTTACTGTTGATAAGAAACCACTCTACAAAACTCAATGCCTGTGATAAACAAACATGCCAGGAAAAAACACACTATTGACCTTCAAATAGTTTGTGCAAGAAACTTGTTAACTTTTACTTTAGTGTGAGCAAACAGTGGATAAGTGATTTCCGTGTATCGGACAATATGA